GTTCGTTACACAAAACGTTCTGCGATCCTCGTCGATGAATTTCTACACCCGCAGAATATTGCTCTATTAGAGACTCGTTCAAAGTACTGTTCTCTTACTCATTTTTCTAAATTTTATCATTCGCTATAGCTTATTTAAACTTGGGTTTTTTTCGAATTTATTCTTATTTTTTATCTTTAATTTGTAAAAAGTTCAAGGAACTTTTTATCTTTCGAATTCTTCTTCTTCTTCTAACAGCTCTCACCATTACTGGCTCCAACGGCTTCAAGGGTAAGACGCTTCCAAGCGGCGTGGTCTGATGCCATCGTCGACAGTAATGAAAGCCGTTCCTTTTTCCATCGTCTAAGTCCATATATTGCTGGTCCACCTATACGTTCAAAATTTTTTCTGACCATACCAGTCCAAGTCTTGATTGGTCCATCTCGCTTTTGACGCCAACACAGGGTCTAGCAGTAACGTATATTTGTCAACTCCTCTGGTGGATGACACAGAATGTGTCCTTACCAAGGCGATGCTCTGTCGTTATTAATTATTGAAATGGTATTTTAACGAAGGTGGATGCAATTATGTGATATTTTATCCACTCGACGCACCTTGTACCTTAGACAAGAGTGGTCAAAGGCAGATAACTTCTTAATATCCTCCACTCTCATTGGCCATGTCTCAGAGCCATATAGCAAGATCGAACCAATCACGGTTATATAGATGCGGACTTTCGTTTTAATGGTAATTTAACGACGGCTCCATAAAGGTTTCGTCAACCGAAAGAATGCATATGCATTTCTAGCTGCCGTGATCTGGGCTATAATATGGTCCCGGCCATTATTAGAGTGGACCCAAGGTATTTAAAATCGGGCACCGGCAATGAATTTACAAAAAGAGGCATTTTATCAGCTTCTTATACAATAAGATAAGACGAAAAGACTTTCGTCTTGTTTGCATTGACACTGAGTCCTATTCTTGCTGCAGTTTCTGACTCAGTGACAAGGCAATTGCCTTCGAGAATTGAAGTTTAAATTTGAATCGAAGAACCACTTCGTCGAGCGTGAGTGTCGCCTAATCGAAAAAGCAAAGGAGAATCGAATGGCTCAGTAGGTAGTAGGTTAACCAATTTGGAGCGCCGATGCTGAGTTTCTATTTCCGAATAAGCCTGTCTAAAAATGCGATGGTACTGCACTTCTGTCGCCTAGCGACTCATTTGTATAGTCCAAAATGTTAACCAGCAGTGATGAGTGCTATTAAAAAAAAAGGTTTATCCGAAATAAAATTTAATTTCTCATATATTATGTATATTTTTTCGAAATTTTATTTTGCGAATAAAATGTGCAGCATCGATTTTCATTGAACAATTTCATTTTTTCTCAAAGCCAGGAGATATCGGTGAATATCATTTAAAAATGGAAAATAGAAAGAGAAATTTAAAATAGGATTACACAATATAAGGCGGTTGCGATTATTCTAAATTGCATGTTGATTTTCCAAAATTTAAACTGCAAATTGCAAATTTTTTTTCTATTTTTTCAGTCCATCCAAATATTTTTTCAATCGTGAAAGTAAATAAGGGTATCGCTCATCCAAAATATTAAAGTAGCTAAAATACAAGACAACCATTTAGATAAAAATAAATTCCATTTTTGCAATTATTTTCAGGATTTGGGCGGCATATTATGCGAAACGACACTTTATTTCTTTTTAGTTCACTTTAGTTTAGGATTTGTATAATTTGCATTTAATTTCTGAAAATATTTTATTATTATATTATAATTAATGTTAAAGATGAATATAACGGAGATTTCTGTCATGTAACGCCAGAACACAATCAGAACCCATCAGAAATATTCAACTATGCGATAGACTGGATAATGGATACTACTTGTACAAATAGATAGAAGAGGAGCAAATAGAAGTGTAAATTTCACCACAGTTAAACCATTTTTGATGCCTTTCGAATTTGATTCAAGCAAAGGTAGAAGAATGAAGATGATCTCGAATATGTACCATGAATAAAATGGTGCTCCAATAAATCGAAAATGATTTTTTATAATCCAAAATATATCACCAAGTAATAATTAATTAAAGAATTGAATAATTGCACCATAAATCATTT